TAAAATAGTAGATTTGGATGTAATTCCTTAGATCATGCATACTATACATACCATTTCACGTTTTGTTTTCTGAAATTAATAAATAAATGAGCATCATTTCATCTGATCAAATATTCCTTCTAATATAATTTGTAGTGCTTGTTCTTTTCCACTTATAAAATATAATTGCACATAGTACAAACTTTAAATTGCATTCCAGGAAATAAAAAATGTAAATTTTTCATTCACTTCAAATGTTTTTTTATGAAGAGGTTTCTTATCAAGAGGCTTTTCTCTGCATATAAAAGTATACATAAACATACATTTACTCACAAATAACATAAATGAAAGCTTACCTACACATTTCTCTGATTTTTGTTTGTTGAATATTTTATAGGATATTGTGTCACATCAATACCCATAGCTCTAACTCATTCTGAAAAATATTTATTTAATCTGTCCTTTATTGATAAACAATTATTTCTCATCTTTTGCTGTTATAACAGACTAATGCTGCAACAATAAATGTTTTTTTTTCCTTCGTAGTGCCATTCTGTTTTTAAAGCTTTCTGCTTTTAATGTTTCTTTAAAAAAGATTTTATTTTATGGTGTGAATTTTTATTGTTTTGGGGCATGTGTAAAATATGTGAATTTCTTCTGGTAGCTTGAAAATTTTATAATTTATTTTTATTTATTTTGATGTTAACCTTTCAAATTGTGTATAACAAACTTCTATTTCTTGAGTTATTACCTTAAAACCACATCAGTACAAAAGATGCTAATATTAGGACATTTATATTCCTTACTACTTTTTTTCCATAGCCTGATCTTGACAGATTATATTATTATCCTTAATGCTCCTAGTGACAAATTTCCTAATTCTCAGAATAGACTTACATATAAAATACTGCATCACTGTTTAAACAATTTTTAATAACTCCCTACACCAAGAGTAGGAGATAGCTGAACAAACAGTGCCTGTAAAACTCCCTCATCTTTCATTTCATTTGTGTTGTTTACATTACTATATTAATATTAGCAGTATTAGTATAATTTTTTGATTGTACTGCTATTATATCACCATTTCCTATAATCCCCACAGTTTTCTGATCTTGGTTCTCTCTGTAATAGTATTCACTCTAATGAATGTCGTATGGAAGGATATTGTGGAAAATTTTGAGAACAGTTTGAGTTTTTTCTTCTTTAAGAAAAAAAATCTCCACTTACTAGTATAAGCTATGAAGTACTTATTTTCCAGTTTTTTCTTAAGACATATTGTGTACTTTTATTCCATAGATATAGGTTTGCTTATGTTTCAGAATTTTTATTTTACATATTACGTCTCTCTTCTCCAGAGATACCAATTATTTGTATGATAGATTGGCCTTCCTATTTATTTTCTCTCTGAACATTTTAAAATTGTAGTTTATTTTTAAATTTTACTTTTAAAAAATTTCTCAGACATATCTTTAATTTCTATGATTGTTTTACAACATGTCTACACTCTTTTTTTGTTTTGTTTCACTTGACTGAAGATTTTCATATCATTTTCTTTTTTGATCTTACTTCTCATCACCTGACATAATATTGGTGTTTTTTTCCAACCTTGTTATTCCACAGAATGGATGTTTTTATTTTTATAAATGTAATAAAGAATTTTTGTTTAATTTGCTCTGTTAATAGAATTATTTTTCCTATTATTTATCATATTACTTTTTCTTGTTTAGCTTTATCATTTTCTTTTTTTATAAATTTGTTTTCATTGTTTTTGTATTGCTTTTAATTGTTTTCTTTTTTTAAAAGAATAACAGGGAGAAATACTTTTCCCTGATATCTTTTAAAGTATATAACAATTTTAATTGCTAAATATAAACCATCAAAATTTTTAGATTTTGGGGGTTTATTTTCCACAAATTCAACAAATATTACACAACACCAGTTATTGATAACCTTCTAAGTGAGATACCTGATAGGAGTTAAAAATGAGCTACCAGTGAAATGTTATGGGAATTGATATCAGCTGTAATTTCTTTAAATTTAAAAAATTTTTATTTTTTTCAATTATACTTGACATACAATATTATATTAGTTTCAGGTGTATAACACAGTGATTAGACATTTATATGACTTGTAAAGTGATCACCCCAACAAATCTAGAACCCATCTGACACTATATATAATTATTACAATACTACTGACTATATTCCTCATGCTGTTTTTAATGGGATAAACAATAAGGTTCTCAGAGAAGGTGGTGATTGAGATAGTTCAACCTATGTCATCAGACTCTACACCTTCTTCCCTCTCATGCGACCCTTCCAATCCAAACAACTTTCTTGCTTCTCTTTCTGGTACCCTGTATCTGTTCATCTCATTACTATTGCCTGGAATATTTCCTCTTAACTTTAGTTATCTAAAATTTGTCTTTCCAGACTAATTCCTTCTTTGAGAATTTTCTCATCTACTGTAGTTTATAGTGATCTGTCCTTTCTTTGGAGTCCAGCGACTGGTTTTTATTTTTTGTCTAGAGATAAGCAAATGCTACTCTGAACTGTTGTTCTATTTTTATGTCTAGATAATATCTCCTCAGTTATGCTCTAGATCCCTAACAATAAATGACATTAATGAGCACTGACTTTATGGTAGACTCTCTTTAAGTACTTTAAATGTATTATTTCTATGCCCTAGAAGCCATTGTTTTCTTTATTTTACAGATTAAGAGAATGAGGCACAGAGAGATGTAGAAACTTGCTCTAAGTGACAAAGTCAATTGAGATTTACACCCAGGCAATATGGCTCCAGAACGCAGGCAGCAAATTACTTTACCCCTGCTGGTTCTGGCTGCTCAATGCATCACTACTCACTGATAGAAAAGAGGGCTCTCTTTTGACAAAGGAGAATCCCAAAGGGGGAAAAAACACATTTTTTTTTTAAATCCTTTCTTAGAACAGACGCAGTTAGGAAATCATACTTGGTCCAGATGCCACGAAGATCATTTTAATTTTGTCCCTTTAGGTGTAAGCTCTTGAGGTTTTAGTTCTTTTGGGACCCGAGAGAACCCAGAAAATGTCCCTTCTTATGTGCAGTATGCAGATCAATGTGCAGGTCATGGGGTAACTGTTTCCTCCCAGGAGCTTCAAGGTACGGGACTTGACTCCTTCCTTAAGTACCTAGAAAGTCCTGCCTCTCGGGAAAGACGACCGGTATGAGGGGAGTTGAATGTTTTCTAGAAAATGATCGTTTCCTTTCAAGCAGTTAATGGAAAGACATAAAGGATATTTTTAAAGAAGTGAGTATGCTGCGTTTGGATAACATGAAGTTTTTGAAATCTGGTGGTGAAACATCAGGATGAGTTTGGACTTTGGAAATATAACCTCTCGACCCCAGGCTCTCTAAAGAGAATAGACCTTGGCATTTTGTTCACATCTTTATGAGACTAAACAACAGGTTTGTGTGACTCTGAACTGAATTTCCTGTTTACTTCTTTATATAGAGAGATACCATAATGTCCATTAGATCTGTTAGGTTTGAAAGGGGCATAGAGATTATTTTTCTTGTTTTATGGAAGACTCAAAATGACTTATATTCAAATAAATAAATAGATAAAAAACTAACACACAAATGAATAAATGAAGAAGGAAAGGAGGAAAATAGGAAGAAGGGAAGGAAGGAAGGAAAAACAAAAGGAAGGAAGAAAAGAAGGAAAAAAAAGGGTTCGGATCGAAACTAGAAGCAGTCTATATTATCTCCTATCCTCACAAACCTAAGTTGACATATTTGAATGGTCATAAACAAAAAATTCATGCAATGGATGATACTTCTAATGTAAGCCTACTATTATCTTTGTGACTGCTGAAAATATGCTACATATAACATTAAGCAGGTAATCATGATAATGAGAAAATAACCATAAATTGAATAGATACAGTCACTATATCACATATCAAGTCCCACATATAATTATTGTATAATTCAAGAGTACTATATTAGTTTTATTTTATTTAAAGACAACATTCATTGAAGTGATAATAAACATTATTTAAAACCCATTTTTTCCATAGAAATTATCCTACGTAATGTTCTTCTATAAATTTTAAATAGCTTAATTTTTTCCTTAACTAATGAGTAAGAAAGTAATATTTTCTTGATAGTGTTTCCTGCACAAAATATTATACATTTACATACTTCATTACTATAATAGATATTACCTGACAGATTTCAGAACATATACCTTAAAAGAACTTTATAAAAAATATGAGAAATCACATGAAATAATGCTACATTATTTTAGTGAAATAGATGCTTAATTTTTTATACAATTTCTATGAAAAGTTGCTGTTTAACGTTTCTCAGATCACTTGATCTCCAAGGCAGGACTTCTCCATTTCTTCCATGGCATCATATATCTTTATATAAGTAACCTTTTTGTCATTTGTGTGTTATCCTTTCCACATTCTTTTATAAATGGGAATAGGAAATAGATTGATAAGCACATGTATGAACTATGTTTTAATAATATTAGAATAGTGCTGGTCTTTCAATAAGAACAGGAAGGCCCTACCTAGTCTTTCCTGATGGCTGTAATAGGGTCTGATTATCTCACTGGTTTTCACAGCGTTCCTAGTAATGGTATTCATATGTGGGTTTTATTATTCCATCAGCCTGTAAGATGAAACATGAAGAGAAATTCTCATTTTAAATACAATTTTTATAGCTTGAAGGAATTTAAGATAATATAATTCGACTCTTTTTTAGGGAGAGACTATCAAATCCGAAGAAAACAGGGGTGAATTACCCAAGTTTACACAGGATTTTTGCACAAGTGCACAGACCTACTATACAGAAATATTGTCTTCCAGTTCAATGATTTTTCAATAACTGTCTGTTGTATACCTATTAGACAGGTGTATAACAGACAATTATTTAAGCCAGATTGGTCATTGGCTTAATATTATTTGTAAATGATACATTATTCTTATAATAAAAAATAATTCTGTTCTTTCTTAGATTACAAGTGACCAATGGAAGACAGGAATCAGACGACAGTGACAGAATTTCTGTTTTTAGGCCTCACAGATCATCTCCATCAGCAGATTGTCCTCTTTGTCATGCTTCTCTTTGTCTATCTTGTCACACTGGGAGGGAACTTGGGCATGATCACTCTCATACGGATCGATCCCAGACTCCACACACCCATGTACTTCTTTCTCAGCCACTTGTCCTTTGTAGACACTTGTTCCTCTTCTTCCATTGCCCCCAGGATGCTGGGTGACATCTTTGCAGAGAAAAGAAGCATCTCTTTCATGGGCTGTGCTGCACAGATGTGGTTTTTTGGCCTTTTTGTGGCGATGGAATGTTTCCTCCTAGCTTCCATGGCATATGACCGGTACATGGCCATCTGTAAGCCCTTGTTGTATACACTCATTATGTCCCAGAGGGTCTGTGTGCAGCTGGTGGTAGGGCCTTATGTCATGGCTCTTGTAAGCACCATGACTCACACAGTTCTCACTTTTGGCTTACCCTTCTGTGGTTCAAATATTATCAATCATTTCTTCTGTGATATTTCACCACTGCTTTCACTGGCATGTGCAGACACCTGGATCAATAAGGTAGTGCTTTTCACCCTGGCTGGAGCTGTAGGAGTATTCAGTGGCCTGATCATCACGATCTCATACATTTGCATCCTGGTGGCCATCTTGAAAATCCGGAGTGCGGATGGGAGGCAGAAAGCTTTCTCCACATGTTCCTCTCACCTGGCAGCCGTATTCATCCTATATGGGACTCTTTTCTTTATCTATGTTCGGCCTGGCTCAGGTTCCTCCCTAGATATCAATAAAGTGATTTCTCTATTTTACACTATGGTCATCCCTATGGTGAACCCCCTCATCTACAGCTTGAGGAACAAGGAAGTAAAAGATTCATTCAAGAGGAAGTTTGAAAGTAAAACTTTTCTAATAGGTAGGTAGAATAGAATTCTATTTTTGTTGCACCGTAGATGTTGGTGCTGAATGTACAATAAAAAGAACACTGGATTAAAAATCAGAAGCTGCATATAAGTCCTGGCTCTGCCAATTCGCAGGTTAATGAAAGCTGGTATAGTTCTGAAGTATTTTTCTGCCATAGTCTTGTTCTATGTAACATCATTGGGCTTCAAAATAATACTAGGATGGATTGAGAATATGAATGTGCAAATGTACTGGAAGAAAATGAAGGTAAATATTTATAAATTGTGGGTGTGTGAATAGTATTTAATCTAGACATGAAAAGTAAAAGTTATTATGGAAAAATCAAAGCACCATAAGCAATAGTAAGAGCCAAATAAAAAATGAGAGAAAATATTTATACACGTGTGCCAAAGAATGAGAGAATATCCTTAATATTCAAAGAAATTTGCAAAATTTACAATGAAAAAATAGATCAACAAATATATGAATATGCAATTCACAGAAATAGAAATGTAAATTGCCAAAAATTGCATGTAAAATGTTCCACATTAAGATCGAACAAGTAGTAAAATAAAATGAGATTACAAGCAGTGCCTTTCAGGCAGAGGAAATAATTGAAAGTTTTCAATGACGGTGAAGTTCCCATTTGACTATGTACACTGTTCTTATTTCCTGCCTAAGATGAATTGCAGATAGGATGAAATACTACATTTCTCCAAAGTAATTTGGTAGTTTCATTTAAAACTTTATATGGCATTTGACCTAGAAATCCCTCCTTTAGAAAACAGAGATATCAATGCCAATACATAAGATTATGTCTATTTCAGTATTATGTGAAGTGGCAAAGAAAAATAACAGAAATAACTTGAATATCCATCATGTGAAATCTTATGCAGCGATGAAAAGACTGAATTAGGTAATCACATACTCACCTGGAGAGAACTATCATAGGCTGTCACTGTTAGGTGAAAAAACATCAAGTTGAAGATCAATGTGTAGCACTGATTATTAAGGAAAAGAGCAAAAGCTCTGCAATGAATAAAACGTATATGCATATGCATGTATAAAAAACCTAAAGAGAACCATAAAGAATACATGACAATCCTTTGACTGTGATTACTTCAATGCGAGTGGCATTGGAGGTAGGAAAAGAGAGGTTTTATTACACACATTTGAATCATTGCTTAATCATGCCCTCTGGTCCTACTGGAGCTCAATTTAGATGTACCATTTTCATCTTATGATGGATGGCTGCTGTGCCTGTCCGACATTATTTATTGGAGGATCTGCCAGGACCCAGCTCATGTGGCAGGCCTGGATGCATACTCACACTATGCCCCTTGTGCAAGTGTTCCCTGTTTTCCTGGGCCCAGAAACAGCACAGGAGCTCTTTCTCAAAAGCCAAAACTTTTTTTGTTGCAGATGGCATAGAACTTCGTAAAGACTAGTACCTGCGTTATTCTCTCACTGAAACTTGTCATGAACTCTATACTACAACTTGCATCATAGCGTCCATTGTGTCATGTGGCCCAAGTGGCACTACTTCTTGCACTGCAAATGAGACCTACTACAGAGCTGTTCCTTGCCCTGCATCCCACCTGACACTGGCCGCCTCTGTGCCTTTGGGGGCACGGGCTAGAGAACTACCCCTGCTGTGGTATACGTTGCCTCCCAATCCCAAAGAGGGCTATCAGCAGACACTGGATCTTCATGAATTTTACTTTATGGGGATGTTATAGCATGTCCCTAACTGCTGGAGCTGTGATAACTTAGCTCATATAAATCTTCATAGGGTTTATCTCCCACCCTTGGAGCACATGTGTTTAACCAAGGCCTGTAATGTTCTAGCAGCTGCTAGTATAACCTGCTCTATTAGTATGATGTTATCAATATAGTGATGTTACACTCAGTGTAGTGGATAGGGGCCAGATATCTTAGGAGTCAGATATCCGCAGACTATATTAAAGAGGGCAGGAGAGTTAACATAGCCCTGAAGCAATGTTGTAAGTGAGTATTGTTGTTCATCTCACATGAACATAAATGGTTTCTGATTCTTTTTTTCTAATCAGAATAGAAAAGAATACACTCCTCAAATCATTGACTATACACTATGCACGGGACTCCTCACATGTCTCCTGTATAGTATAGTATGGTGCTGCTATTGGGCTGCTACTTGGTTGAACTTGAAGCAGTTACAGCCATTCTCTAGCAGCATCTGGTTTCTGGAGGAGCCAGACTGCTGAACTAAATATGTAATAGGACTACTTCCACTGCATCCTTTACGGTTTTGGTGGTTGCACTGATTTCTAGATTCAAGTGTTCTGAAGTCTTCCCATGCCCACTGACTTCAGGAAGCCTAGATCCATATCAGCACCTCATGCCACTTAGCTACTCACCAAGCTGAAGTGTCTCTCACTAGTGTTTTTCTTTACTGTTTAGAGGAAGGAGCGTTCTCTCAGGGAACACCGATGTCTTCCCTAGTTTGATATCATAAATACTTTCAAGCATCTCTATATTTCTGAGCTTTGAGACTCCTTCTTTAACGCTGTGCCATGGAGGTAATGATATATTTACCTTATAATGGCAGGCTGTTAGGTTTTCAAAGATTTAGGGACCCATTTCCATAGCTCATGAAGATCAACTCCTGGTGTCTTCCTACAAGCTAACTTGTGAGTTGCTTGAGTTCTCCCTCCTCAGTAAATTCCTCCTTACTCAGCTTTGCATCCCTCCCATCCTGAGCACATGTGCTCTGTATACCTCCCCAGGCTTTCCTAGTTTTGGCTGGTGCTTATCCACCAAGGCCTGTAACTCTTTTTGTGAACCATAGGGATAATTCTTCTTAGTCATCGGGACACATCATTTCAAGTGTGGCCTTCGGTTATTAAGTCTGAAGGCCAGGAGGCGAAGTGGAGTTAGATCTTGAGAAAAGCACTTATTTACTTTGGCAGCATCTGACTCTGGTGAGCCCTCTTTCTATTCTCTAGGCAAAGGGAGGCAGCTGTCTTCCAGCAAGGGGAAGAGGACTATTTCTGCAGGGTCAGAAGCTTTGGGGAGTCAAACATATCCACACAGATGTCTTAATTTCAGTTCTCAGTTTTCAACTCCTTCCCCATCAGACTCCTGAATTTTGTACAAAAGACTTCCAGAAGTTGTGAATTCAGTTTCTTTTTTTCTTTGCTTTTCCACCATCGGGTTCTTAAACTGAGAGTTCATACAGTCTTGCCTCTTATTGTAGGAGATGAGGATCTTTTTAAACTGCTTATCTGACTTTGACAGACCTTGAGTTGGTAATTATCTTGCCTGAGTCTGTTATTTTCATCCTTTAGCCTGTTAGTGGAATTTAACAACAACCAACTTCATAGTTCTGTAGTTACCGTATCCCTGACATGTTGGAAATAACTGCATAAGCCAAAGGACATTTTTCACCTGTGCGCCATCCCAGTTCGGTGCAGGTGAATCTTAGCAATTGCAATGTTAGGGTCCGCTAGAGGTATGACCTCTTTAGTCTGCCAGCGATGGCTTCTTGTTGCCACTTGTTCAGTGAGTGACCTGATTCCAGAATATTATCCCCCAAATGTGCTAAATCTATCAGTCAAGGAAGTTACAAAGGTCAGGCTACATTCAAAGATAGGAGAAAAAAACCCTCAGTTTTTCATTGGGGGAATAGCATGCATTTACAAGAAGGGAGGTAATTAATTATGGCCATGAAGAGATAACCTAACAAAAGTTGTTGAAACCACAAAAACTAAATAAAATTTAGTAGTATAGTATAAACAAAAAATCTTATTGTTTAATATGATGCAAGCATGGATTTATTATAGTTAATTTGCAGCCACTTTATGGGATTAATTTCAATGAATCTGAATTAACACAATCCACTTACATATGTGCTTCAATAAATTTAAAATATAAAAATATGAGAATGTGGGAAACAATAATCAATAAAATTGCGGACAATCATATTACAAAAAGATAGCCTTAGAAACTTCTTGCCCTAGGAAATTTTAACCCTCATTTACCTCTTGAAGTCAAATGAGAACTCCACTAAGAAGAGATCCAACCTTTACAAAACTTGAAATACAATAGAATTCTGTAAAGACTCACTACAAGACTAAAAGTCAATTCACTTGAGAAAACTGGATCCCAAGTGGATGGGTTAGTGATAAATTTCAGAGGCAACTTCTTTGAAAAATGCAAAGAACTATTGACCACCGAGTTTTTATATATGCTAAGCTTGATCTTCTGGGTTGAGGACAGGATCTTGAAATAGTGCCCATGGGTCTGTGTGTCAAGGCAATGCTGGCCTTTTGTGGTGTGTAGTGTCATACACTGTTTCACTTTAAAAGTGAATTGACCTTTTAAAAAAAGTGAATCAACCTTCTGAATCTAAACATTTTCTCAAAAATGAGGAAGTCCTTTACTTAACACCATAAAACTTAATGTCAAAGAACAAGACTACAATTTTTCAACTTTCCATGTTACAGTGAGAAAAATGCTCTGTTTTTATGTCTATCTTAATACTAGAGGCTTAGATAGCAGGAAAAGACTTGGATTATTTCTAGAGGTTTTGTAACAATGTGAAATGTCGACCTTTCTAGCTCCATCTTGTTCCAGCCTGCTTTGTGAGGTTAATAGTTTCTGCTTTGTCCTGCAAATAGACATGTGAATCATTAGAGGAATTTTGCTTGCTACTTGAGTTTTACCAAAACAGCTCCTTACCAGACACTTTTTGTTTGGAGGAGATAAGGAAAGTGTGTCAGAAAATAATGATGGTTTATCAAAGATTTGCAGGAATCTAGTGACTAGACTCACATTAACTTAAGTCAAGAGACTAAGAACAACCTTTATTTGACTCCTACTGGTAACCAAATGTCTGTGGTTGTCAATCATCTCTTGCACCTCCCATTTACT